GGTGTCTTGCCAATCTTTGCAAAACTGACTTTTTTTTGCCAAATATGCAATCCTTGTATAGTCCGACATCTACACTCTTTAGATATGGCAGCTTTCCTTTTGACAAAAGCGTCTTCATCCCTTTCTCGCTCATATGGCCAAGCCTTTGGTGCCATAGGTTTGATTTTCCATTAGCATCTACGGCTATAATGATATTCTCTAAATTTGAGGTTACATAGAGAGCACCAGTCTTCTTACCATGAGCAATGATGAGTGCTCCTTTGGTAATCTTCCATTCACAGCCTGAAAAGGTTGTACTATATCTTTCTCCATCAAGTTGTCTATCAAAAATCAAATTTCTTTTGAGGCCAGGAATATATCTCACTTCTTTCAGCGTCCAGGTGGTCTGGTTTGGCAACTTTAATCGGATGTCTCCTTTTCCGACGATCTTCAAATCATCATCTAGATGAACCTTCCCAAAATCACCACTGACATAGTTCTCCATGATTTCTCGACATGGGGTGGAGTGGAAAGATGCCCCTGAATCCAAGATTCATGATTTAATCAGACTGTTGACGCTTAGAATCGTGGCATCACCTGTCTCCTCTGTCACGTTGGCAGATTCCTATGCTCCGGTATTTTTCTTCAGTGCTCTGCAATCTCTTTTAAAGTGACCCTTCTTGCCGCAGTTATAACAGGTAAAATCTTTCTTTCCCGTTCTTGATTTTCCCGTTCTGGATTTGGATCTACCACGATTTGAATTTCTTTATGAAGTTCTCCCTCTGGACTCCGTGTGCAAGGCTGAGGAGGTTGATGCTTCACCCGATTCTCTCCGTCGAATTTCTTCATTCAATACCAGATCCCGAACATCGTCGAATTTTAATTTGTTGTTTCCCGACGAGCTGTTGACTGCTGTAACAGTAGTATTCCAACTGTCTGGTAGAGATGATAAGAGAATTAAAGCTCGAACTTCATCATCAAACTCAATTTCCACGGAACTCAACTGGGTTGTAATTGTGTTGAGTTCATTTAGGTGTTGAGCCACTGATGCCCTTTCCGCCATCCGCAAATTGAATAATCGCCTCATCAAATTAACTTTGTTTAAGGCCGATGACTTCTCATACATACTGGAGAGAGCCGCCATAAGACCCGCCGTGGTCTTTTCCTTTGCTATGTTGAAAGCAACATTGTGGGATAACGTCAGTCGGATAACTCCGAGGGCTTGTCTGTCGAGAAGAGCCCAGTCTTCATTCTTCATGCCCTCTGGTTGCTTTCCTAAGAGGAGTTGATATAGATTTTTCTGGTACAAAAAATCTTCAATTTGCATCTTCCAAAAGCCAAAGTCCGCACCATCGAACTTTTCAATTTTCACCTTCCCTTCATCTGCAGCCATCGCTCCCACTCGAATCTGGCTTCTTTGGATCGTTTCTGACAATTCTTGCGTACCACCGTGTATTAGAACACATCCGTCGACAAATTCGTATCCCTGACAAATTTTTTTCTATCCACGAAATTCACTATTCACATGAATAGTAATGAATAGTAAACTCGCAAAAAATTGACAAAATTCACAACCAAAAGCTCTGATACCAATTGTTGGGAAATAAACCGAGTACGAGTAATTTTCTTATAACTATATTAGTGAGAATGTGAAATAAAAGCGAAAAAATAATACCCGGAATTGATAATAGAGTTCAGCCAATTTGTTTACATCTCCGGACTGCTGCAGATCTTTTACTAAGAGAGAAAATTTACAGGTGTTTACAAAACACTCACTACTCACAAGAAAGCTCTCTAGTATTGGGAGAAAGAAATAATTTTTGGGATGATTTTAAAGCTAAATGGGTTAGGGTATTTATAGTTGAAGCTTAAGGACTAATCTTATAAATACCCTAAAATCCAATGACTAATTATAATTACCCCATTACAAATTTTCAACAAACATCTACCAAACTTTGAAAAACCATTTTTCAAAGAAATATTTACCAAAGTTTGAAAACCATTTTTCAAAGAAATATTTACCATGAAAACCATTTTCAAAGTTGGTTGCCTTGGACTTTTAACATTGCCCCATAACGATCTACTAATAAACTCCTAATCTGGAATTGCAAAAACGTTACAACCCGAACAATTATTGAGACACTATCGTTGAAGCACTCTCCCAAATAACGTCGCATGCAATATTATAATTGTATCTAAAATTTGGGACCCACAATCTATATCATTAACACGGTCTGCTTCAACATTTTCCACAGCAAATGAAAATGGTGTGCCGCAGTTCCCTTGCAAAGAACCATTAACATCTCGCATAAGAAAACGAGACAAATCGTAAGCTATTTGATATCGATTCAATCAAGATTTGATAAATGTTAGAGTATGCCCAAAGACCAATCATATGATGATTGTAATAATACTTTTATTTACCGATTTTATTGAATAAAGGCATTGCCGCTATTATTTTCAGTTATATATATATATGTTTAACATAAACTGGAAGATAATAAAGTCCATATAATGACATAATTGTTATTATTAAAAGATCCCTAGTCAAGTATTATTATAGGCATGGACAATAATAATACGCTCAAGACTAACATGTTATTGATTGATGACAACGAGTTGTCATTGACATAGAGATGTCAGAATTAATACATGATTATATTGTTAGAGAACAATGTATTGAATTGACCCACCATGAGCATATGTCTTGGATTATTATGTGACAGTTATAACATTACTCATGGTGATGGCTATATGTATGATCCTCAGACTTGAGATCAATACTATCCCAACATATATTGTTGTATGTTTTGATGCAGCTAAACAAGCTCCGTAACTGGTTGCTCTATAAAGACTGTTATTGAATATATCTCAATATATGTAGTGGGTGTGTATGATTAAGATAGGATATGTCCTTCCTACATAATAGGAAATATATCATAGGCCACTTGATTGAGTAAGACTAGAAACGCATGGCCATGCTCGAATAAGTTGATATGAGATATCATAAACTATTCGTTAATTAAAGTGTGACTATTCCAGGACTTGTGCCTATTCTAGATATAAAGGACATAAGGATATAATACATAAAAGAGTTAATCACCAAGATGATATATCGAATCATATTTTCTTGTAACTTAGGTGACAATGATATATAGCTAGATGTCACTCATTGTATGTAATATTAGAATTGTTCTAATAATTACTTCTAATGTTACAAGAACCTACATGGTCACACCCTAAGATTGAAATGAGCAAAAATGTACAATTTGTTGTTCGTTACTAAAATATATCTAGAGTTAATTAAGTATATATATTTTAATAATCCCGAATATTTAATTTCAATTAATTAAATATAGATTTAATTAATTTGAAATAATAAAATCCTTGATATGATTAGGGTAACTTGGATATAAAAGGATTATTAATTTTTAATTAATTAAATATAGATTTAATTAATTTGAAATAATAAAAACCCTAATATGACTAGTAGGGATGGCAAACGGGCGGCTCGGGTGCGGATACCTCCTCCCCCATCCCCATACCCACCTACTATTTTTCAATCCACCACCTGCCCACCACCCATGATGGGTACAAATTTTCAAATCCACACCCGCCCACGCGGGTACATTTTCAAATCCATCCCCACACCCACTACCCACTAGTGACATACCCATCTAGACCCGCCTGACAACAAACTAATGAGATGTTGGAGTTGGTTCCCAGACAGTTCGTGATGGGGTAGCAGCGCATGCTTCAATTTGTCAGAGGAGTGACTCTACGAATGTTATGGAGACAGATTATAGGAAGAATGTAATCGCAAAGCTGGATTGTTGTGTTGCTTTCGATGTTAATGCTCATAGTGTACCTAATATGGGTTTTGAGGGGCTAAAGAACATGAAAATTGACGTGGTTAGTGGGATTATGGATTTAATCAAAGAGTCGAATATTTTCCTAATTAAATACCAGATTAAAGACTAAATATTTTTAATATTTGGTTAAATTATATGTTATATATTATATAATATTAAAATTTATAAATTAGTCTCTAAAATTACACCTAAATTCATAATGGTCCAAAATTTAATAGATATTTAGCTGGGCGGGCGGATATGGGGCGGGCGGATGCGGGGCGGGTAATGTCTCAAACCCATTACCCGCCCACCACCCACAATGGGTACCATTTTATAAATCCACACCCGCCCACTACCCGCTAAAATTATACCCATCCCCGCTCCAATTGGAGCGGATGCGGTGCGGAATCCATGAAACTGTACCCGTTTGCCATCCCTAATGACTAGGGTAACTTGGCTATAAAAGGGTGTGTTAGGTCTAGCAGCCGTTTTAGGGAGAACACACACAAAACCTTCAGTCACTTTCTCTCAAAACTGTTTTGGGGGAAAACAAAATTGCTCTCAATCGGGTGAACTAAGTAGAGGCCGAGACGTGATTTCGTGGAGGCTTACGATTCGAACCGATCTACACCACCAGAATTCACTACTTTCCTTGCTGTTTTTCAAGGAACACGCTGTAAGAATTCGCATCTCTTCCTCCCGATTTCAGTTTTTCGTACTTGGATCGCTGGTGAGACCGTCGAGTTTTGTTTCTGCTGTGCCATGGGGTGCGCCGACGGTCCTAACAATAAATACTTAGATCGAATTGACTCGAGCTCGACTCTAGTTCTTAACGAGCCGAAACAAGCTACTTGATATTCGAATAGAAAAGTTCGTGAGAAGCTCGAAAATAAAATATATTAAGATTTTTTAAAATAAATTATTAATAATATTATCATTTATGTATTGATTTTTTTAAAATATAATAAGATTTTTATGTATTTAATGTTCAGGTTCGAGTTTGAGGCTTTAATCGAGTTAAATTTAAGATTTTTTTCATTTCGAGCTGCTCACGAGCTTCAGTTTAAGATATTGAGTTCGAGTCGAACTTGAAAATTTTAAGCTCAAGGGTTTTCGAGTCAAGTCGAGCTCAGCATTACTCGAGCTCGACTCGACTCGTGTACACCCCTAATCTCGCCGATTGCCCAGCTGGCTCTCCTCGGGCCTGCAGAGATACGAAGAATCGTCCAAGACAGCCATTCCATCTCCCACTAACATGGAGGCTGCATGGATGACAGCCTCACTCCATCGATTCAGCTCTAACCCAGCTTCAACATCTATCTCCTCCGACCAAACTTCCACCTTCTCAAACAATTTTTCCAACGAGCTTATATTATCCTTCCAAATTTTATCCCTGCTCGTTTAATCCTCAAAGATTAAAAGAACTGTCAAACCACTTAATCTCATTATTGTTGGACCTTTAAATCCATCCATATGTAAAATTTTTGCAAGATCTTTTATCTTCATGAAGTACTTGCACCATCCAAACAAGACTGTCTTTAAAAACCATCAGTTTTTCCTCATCAATGGATCCTTCGATGTAAGATATTGGATGCAGTTTATCGTCAACTCTACTCTTACCTTCAAGATGCTGCACATCAATGCGTTTTTTCTCCAAAAAGTATTTCGCGTTTGAAATCCCGCAATGAAGACTCTAATCTTGTTACCGTGAATTCTAAAACTGTCAAGATGGCCCATTGCTCTTTTAGCATCCTCCATATGTGCAAATCGAATAAAGCCGAAACTGCTTCCCCCTATTCTTTTTTTTTTTTTTGCTGGGATGAAAGAATCAACAACTTCACCATATTTATCAAAGATAAGTCACAACCCTTGATAGTGGAGATTCTCTGGAAGATCAAACACTATCAGCGTGAGACAACTTCCTCTCGTTCTCTCTCTTGTCTGATAGTTATGAGTCGCCTGATTGTTAACACCTGACATCTTCACTTTCTACTTTTGAATCTTGAGCAAATGGTCATCTTCACTTCGTCAGAATTGTTGTTTAAGCATTTGAAACCTGAGATGGATGAACTCTCCATCTCCACTGTTCTCTCTGGATGAGATGAGACTCATTGAGTGTTTATACAATGAATGTATAACATCTTCATGCAGATGTCGTATTGGGATTTATCTTACATACAGAGGGCAGATGCAGGAACTTCATTAGAAATATTCCTTCAATTATGGTTTTTTTTCAATGCTTTAGACACTTTGCGTTAATAGAGGATTAGAAAGGCTTTCTAGCTTAATGTTATTTTGAAAGTTTTTTTAACTCTTACATGGAATTCGTATAGGTGTCGATTTGAAAGTACTCATCGATCTCTCCCTCGGTTCATGACCTCGACCATGACTAGTCGAGGAAGGCAAAGTACAACCGAAAGAGAGACTAGGAGCCAGATGTTCAAAGCAGGTCCCAGGTTTCAGTCCCTTAGCTTTTCGGACAATCGTTTCCGATCACTTTTACGGCACTAAAAAAAGAGTTGCCGGTTCAACGATACTATAAATGGACAAGCCATAGAGAGTGGAAAATGCAATGTCTCAGTCTTCCTTGAAGACAACTTCCATGCCAAGAAGCAAGGAGGTCACATCTTCTTATCGAACCTTAAGAATTGAACCATCAAGTTTACACAGTTTTATGCACTTTTGATCTATTAAGTTTAAAAAAAATCGATTTCTTTCTTATTTTCCAACATAAATTAGTAGATAAAACAATTAGTAAAGGCATTATGCTACTGACGACGAATCAATTTAAAAAAGATAAAGCGATTCTCGTGAAAAAAGATGATACAGGGATGAGACGAAGGGGTGGTCTCTTCCTAAAATTTTAAAAGTCCATTTCTCTAACAAAAAAATCTTACATCCATCCTTCTAACGATTTATGTGTTTATCTGGTAACGTATGTTAGAGTACTTAGTCTTTAGTACTTGGTCTCTGGTTCAAGTGTTTGTTATTGAGCTGTTGTAACTGTTCTGTGTAACTGCCCAAGTTGGGCTTTAGTTTTATCTTTGTCTGTCACCGGACTTCTCTCCGATCCTAGAATTCTAATAATGCATTGACTAAATGTAAAATGCAGTTGATATTTCAGTTGCCGACACCAGTTAATTCAAGTGTTTATTGTAGATTTTGAGAGTGATTTAGCAACCCCTATTTGTCCCAACGATAACAAAAATTAAGAGGCTTTGTACAAGGACCGTTTTGTCTTACATTCCACACGCAGTTATCTATATGAAAGCAACCTTTATCCCAACTCCAATACCTTTCTTCCGTGTAAACGTCGAACCAGTGTGATTTTCCATTCCATGTCATGCGACAGAAAAACAAGGTCCGACCTAACAAGTGTGGTACAAATCGGAAGTCATAGGATTCCTTGTAAGAAAGAACATGGACGCCGAGGTCGTCGTCCTTAGATTTGCAATGGATGATCAGATCCTTCCTGTTTTCCAAATCGTTACGGATTGTTACTCCCACACTCCTATCCCAGAAATCCTCTATACTCGCAGCCAAAACCAGCGTTACAGACAGCAACCACACCAACCTGATCGCCAACGTATTCATGTTTTGCTCGTCTTCATGCTCACCAAAACACCATACAGCCTTATGAATGAAATTTTCTAGCGAAACGGGTTGCTCTCAATTTTTTAACGCCTTGCAATTTATGGTATATTGGAACCATTAAGATTTATTTAATTAAGTTTAATTTAGGTTATATTTGATTCATAATGTTATCGCCACTGAAATTTAAAAAGTAAAAAATCGGTCAATAATGTTAACGATTTTTAACATATTGGTTACTAACATTATTGATTTGTAATAAATCGGTCACTGGACTTTAGCATACGTTATTGGAAATAACAATCTTTATTCAATGACAGAGGTTGCACAATTGCTGTCAATGGCGTCAATACACCCAATGGGGCAATATGAGTAGGAGATGGTTAAAGGAATTGAAAGAAAAAAGAAACAAGAAATCAAAGCTCACAATGCACAATTCCACACAATATCAGTCGCTGTAGTTGCCTCCTCCACAACAGCTATTATTGCGGCCACCACCTCCGCTTCTTCTTCTTTCTCAACAGTGTTAGTAGTTGTGTGCAATACGTGGAGGTTGCTGAAGCCATGGAGCCGTACATTATAATCTTGCTTTGGTTGTGAACTCTGCTGTTAATGTTCATTCACCCAACGATCAATTAACTCTTATAGTTGTTGCAGAACAATTTATTGAGGTCAAGCAGTATTCAAAGACAGATGGCATCTCAGTACAACATGCTTTTTCATATGACAATAAGTACACAGAAGAATATATATATTCATGTATGTACAATGAGATGAATTATTATTCTCACTTCTTTTGTTTTTCCTTCACTTTGCCCCACTAAGTGTTTAACTCACAATAATTTTTTTCCTGCTATATTGAAGGATAAGTATCTTAAAGCTTATTATCCTATTTTGTATAAGAAGTAATAAGAACTAGAAGAAGCAGCTAAGAAACAACAAGAATTGTCAGACATTCATCCAGCCATTAATCTTTTTGTCTCCTCCAATCGTCAAGTTGGTATGAAAGTTAAACGTAATGAAAATGAGAATTATGATATATTGATTGGGAATATGAGCTATTTACAATGTTACTATGGCCTTAAAGCAACATAAAAGAAGATGATGTCCTAAGTTTTTGAAATGACAGTTTACAAGAAAGGAAATCTGATTATGTAACATGAAGATGAATATGAGAGAGATGCATGTCCTTATCACACTGACAAGACCTTCACGGCCATTCTCCATGACAATGAAGTTGCAAGTTTGCAGGTAAAAACAAAGGATGGTGATTGGATCGGTGTCGAGCCCTCCGATTCTACGTTCCTCATCATGGCTAGTGATGCATTCTTGGCATAGAGGAATGGAAGAATACACTCTACAATCCATCGTGTGACCATAATGGAAGCTGCAAAAGGAAATATATAGTCTTGCGTTCTTCTTTTTTAGTGGGGAAACTTGATCACCATCAACAACCTCAAAAGTAAAAGTCACATAAAGATTCTACATTTAAGATAATTCAGTTTACTATAAGCACCTTGAAATAAGACAAATTATGGTATTCTTATTACTCGTTCAAGAAACAAAGTTAAAATTTTCTTTTCTTCCACAATATTTACCTTAAGGATTTGCATCAAATTGCACGTATATACATAATCTTAATAGTACAATACAGATATTACTGAAGAGAGAGAGAGACTTGAGATGAGGAGTTAATGGAGAGAGAGCATAATGAAAAAAAAAAACAGACAAAGAAGTCAGGAAAGCAGTTCACGGGCCAAATAAACTTTTCGTCGTCCACGTTAACAGTTGTTAACATCAAATGATTAATTTGTTAAAAATCAATAACTTTAGTGATTAATTTGTTATATTTAAAACTTCAGTAGAGAAAATAAAAGTTTTCTTAAACATTAATGACCATTTGTGTAGTTTACCCATTAAATAGAATGTGGCGAATCAAATGCTTTCTGTAAAATGTAATACTTAGTTTGGGTAAGAATATTAGACATTTATTTTAAAAATATAATACCTCTGTACTTAATAAAAAATAGTGAATTTGGTGAAAATTGATTGAATAATTTAATATGTAATTGTTACGTATATTATGATTTAGTATAATTATGCATAAAATTTTAACTTTAATTGGACTGAAAACATTAATATAGTCATCTTATCAATCTATCTCGATTCCACCCCTTCATATTAAATATTAATAGACGCTCTTAAACATTAAAGATTGGTTGTAATTGAGTTATGGCAATATAAATTTGTCAATAAACTATATTGTTATATACATTTTTATGTATGCGTTGATGTTGTAATACCCAATTTTTATTTGAACCGTTTAAATTGGATTTAGATTTTAAATACTGTTCGTACGTTGAGTGGATTAATTTGATGAAACTGAGAAAATCATTGTGATTATGAGCTTCTAATCATGCTTTTAAGCATATTTTTTTTTTGGTTTTGGGATTGACATATGCGTAACGGGATCATTGAATTCAGAATTGAAAGACAAAATTCCTTTTAAAAGATATAATTAATTAATATGGAAATCTAAAAAGATAAAAATTATTTGCATAAAAAATTCCAAGATCTCTCGGTGCATGTTAGTGTTGGATCATAAACTTGATCCATTATGGGAGCCTAAACCCAAACCCAAACTAAATTGATGTCATTGCTTACATCATTTAAGTAAAGATGTCATTGCTTACATCATTTAAGTAATGATGCCATTGCTTACATCATTTAAGTAATGATGTCATTGCTTACATCAATTTAGTTAGGTGAGAGTTAGGTATTTGTTGAATTTGTAATGGTTTAAATTAGTTTATTTGTGTGGTGTAGGATTATTTTTTAGTAGTATAAATACCCCTCTCCATTTTAGTTTTAAGCATCAAGAAAAATTAAGAGCTTCTAAGTGAGTGAAGAAGTAAAGTCTTATAAGAGTGAGTTGTAGTTCTTGTTTTTGAGTGAGAGTGCTCTTGTAATATTTGTTTGAGTTTCAATAAAGGTTGTTTGTGTGAGTGTTTTATTTCCAACAAAGTGGCATCAGAGAGAGTTGGAAAGATCGAAGGTCTCGACGAGAAGAATCCGCCGCCGCCAGAATTTTCTCAATCTGAGTTCTGACGCACCGTCGGAAGACTGCTGCTAGAAAATCGAGTTGACTCGTCGAGTTGAGCCGAGTTAGCCGAGTTGGAGCCCTTGACCGAGTTGTCCAAGTCCTTCCCAAGGTTTTTTCGACGTTCCGGATTCATTCGTGTAATCAGATTTTACAAAATCTCATTATATTAAGAGATATGGCAAATGGTATGGCACCATTCCAATTTCTGACACTCAACAACAACAACTACGCCAATTAGAGTATCAAAATGAAGGCACTTCTTGGATCACAAGATGTGTGGGATATCATAGAGAAAGGCTATAACGAGATTGTGGATGATGTTGTTTTTGCTACTCTTACACCAGATCAAAAGACAACTTTGAAGGATTCAAGAAAGAGAGACAAGAAGGCTCTCTACCTCATCTACCAAGCATTAGATGATGATGGTTTTGAAAAGATTTCAAGTGCAAACTCTAGCAAGGAAGCATGGGAGAAGCTGCAAACCTCTTACAAAGGATCCGAGCAAGTGAAGAAGGTTCGTCTCCAAACATTAAGAGGTGAATTTGAATCCTTGCACATGAAAGCATCTGAGTCTATTTCAGATTATTTCTCAAGAGTAGTAGTTGTTTCTAATCAATTAAAAAGAAATGGTGAAAAGTTAGAAGATGTGAGGATATTAGAGAAGATACTCCGTTCGTTGGATCCCAAATTTGAGCACATCCTCATGACGATTGAAGAAACTAAAGACTTGGAAGAAATGAGGATCAAGCAACTCCAAGGATCATTGCAAGCATACGAAGAGAAGCATAAGAAGAAGCATGAGTTTACTAAGCAACTCCTCAAGCTACAACTCAAGGATATGCATGAGAGCCAACGCAATGATATAAACCAACGTGGCCAAGGCAGAGGTAGAGGTCATAGACGAGGTGGAAGTCGAGGTCGTGGACGAGGCTGGAATTACAACAACAACAATTCCAAAACAACTATGAGAAAGGAGAAAGCTCAACACGAGGCCGTGGAAGAATCAATCTGAACTCAAGGCACGACAAATCTCAAGTTCGATGTTATAATTTTCAGAAGTTTGGGCATTATGCTTCAGAATGTAGAGCTCCCAACAACAAAATTGAGGAGAAGGCCAATTACGTGGAGGAAAAGACAGATGGCAAAGAAACTCTTCTTCTAGGACGAAAGGAAACTGATGGTGGCCAAGCAAATTCTTGGTATCTTGACAGTGGTGCAAGCAATCACATGTGTGGAAGGAAAGACATGTTCGTGGAGCTAGACGAGTCAGTAAGCATAAATTTTTCATTTAGAGATGATTCCACAATAGCAGTAAAAGGGAGAGGTAACATTCTTATCCGTTTAAAAGATGGGAGACATCAATTTATTTCAAATGTCTACTATGTGCCAAATATGAAAAGTAACATCTTAAGTTTAGGGCAACTAGTAGAGAAAGTTATGATATTCATATGAATAATTATAATCTTTCTATAAAAGATGATAAGAATAACTTCATTGCTAAAGTGTCGATGTCAAATAATAGAATGTTCTTGATCAATATACAAAATGATGTTGCAAAGTGCTTGAAATCTTGCTACAAAGATGCATCATGGCTTTGGCATCTTCGATTTGGGCATCTCAATTTTGGAGGTCTAGAGCTGTTATCTAAGAAGGATATGGTGAAAGGACTACCTCGCATCAACCATACTGACCAGCTCTGTGACGGGTGTCTAGTCGGGAAACAATTCAGGAAAAGCTTTTCAAAGGAGTCAGAGATAAGAGCCATGAAGCCACTTGAGCTCATCCTTACCGATGTGTGTGGACCGATCAAGCCAAGCTCTCTCGGTAACAGTAACTATTTTCTTCTCTTCATTGATGATTTTTCAAGAAAAACCTGGGTATATTTCTTGAAACAGAAGTC